GGATGTAGAGAGGACGTTTCCCCTTGTGGGGCAAAGTAAACTGAGAGGTCACAGTTTTTGGATAAGGGGTGGCAGAGATGAGGAAGAATTACTTCTCTCAAAGTGTCAAGAATCAGCGGAATTCACTATTCCAAGAGCGGTGCATGCTGGGACGCTGAATGAACTTAAGGAGGAGATGGACAGATTTTTAATTAGTAACGGGTTGAAGGGTTATGGAGAGTGGGCAGGAAAGTGGAGTTGAGGCTGAGATGAGATCAGCCATGATCATATTGAAAGGTGGAGCAGGCTTGAAGGGCTGAATGGCCTACTTCTGCTCCTAGTTCTATGCTTTCCTTCTTACTTAGCGACATTGTGTATCCTAACGTGTCTGGTGGCAATTATAAACAAGGTACCTCTTGTCTTTCAGATTCAAGATTATGGAATTCCATCAGACCTTGCACTTACACCATCTGAATGTCTCAGGCTCTATGATGCCATGGTCTTTGTTTTCCCTAAGTGGCCCAGAGCACAGGTATGTAAAACAGTTGTTCAGGCCAGACCCAGGGAGAGGTTTTTCAATTTGTTACGGTCCCAGATAGGGTCCCTAAAGTCGTTAACCTCCCAGGGCAAGGAGGGTTGGAGCAGCTCCTCTTTTTTTCACTCGTTCACTCTAACTACCCCTTGGACAGTTATGGATGGCTATTAAATGCTGGCACAGCCAGCCCCGCCCAACATCGTGATGGAATTCTAAATATCACTTCCCCCCCAACCCCCAACTTGAAATGGTGGTCTTTAAATCTAGAGGCCTGGAGTGTAAACATACAAAAGTTATGCTGCAGTTTAACAAAACCCTGTTAGACCCCACTTGGAGCACTGTGAGCAGATCTGGGCATCCCACCTTAGGAAAGACATATTGGCCTTGGACAGAGTACAATGTAGGCTTACAAGAATGAGACCTGGACTTCGGAGGTTAAGTTATGAGGACAGATTTTACAAATTACGCCTGTTTTCTCTAGAAGTTAAAAGGTCAAGGGTTGATCTGATCAAAGCCTTCAAAGAATGAAGAATAAAACAAGATAGATAAAGATAAACAATTTCCACTGGTTTGAGCTTCGAGAACTAGGGGGCATGATCTGAGAATTAGGCCCAGACAGTTCAGAAGCGATGTTAGGAAACACTTCCACATACAAAGAGTAGGTGAAGTTTGGAACTGTCTTCCGCAAATGGCAGTGGATGCTGGATCAGTTGTTTAATTTTAAATCTGAGACAGATAAATTCTTGTTAATCAAATATATTAAAGGATAGGGGCCAAGGCAGGTATATACTGTCAGATCAGCCATGATATAATAATGGAACATGTTCAAGGGGCTGAATGGTCTACTTCAGTTCCTGTGTTCCTACCTCCTAGTGTATCACAACAAGGTTAATTCAAAAAGGATCGCTTATCTTGTGTGTACAGTTCTCCCAGACACAACTGCACTTATATTTTTCAAGGAGTCAGTTTAATCAGGCTTTCTTAAATTAACCATGAATGAGTTTATTCATTACTGAGCAGTAGAGGAATCAGTAGGACACTATGCAAAGACAAAGATTAGAGTTAAGACTTGAATCTGAAAAAGATGCAAGTTAAAAAAGAAAACATATATGCAGGTCAGATTTTGAATTGTTGATGAACGGTGAATAGTTGAACATTGAGGATGTTGCAGTCAAAGTTTTCAGTGCGACTGATGTTGTGATTCATGGTTTTGTAGGCTGATTCGAATTCCTTTTTCCTGATCTCTTTTCTATAAATGGGTTTGTGGCACACAGAGCAGAAGAGGGTTTTACTTGTATAATCCTGTTACACAGGGTTAATCAGGGGACAGTTCTTGGACTTACTCTGTCACAGCGCACTGATATTTGAATGCAAGCCAATATACATGAGAGCACTCAGTCCCACTAGTCCACTCTGGGAGATTTGAAACTATCTTCTTAGGCCCTGTATTTCTATATTGCTGGAGGGCAAAACACACTTGCCTGTAAGAGATGGCTTTCTGCTGAGAAAGGGAAAGATAGTTAGCCCTCCCTCATTTTCTCTTCTTGTTAGGTCTGTCCCCTTTTGAGGTTTTCCTGACAGATTATACATGTGACAGTCCCGGGGTTTCACACAGGGATTTTCCAGAAAGTTAAGAACCTAAGTCCACAGTTTATCTGTAGCAGTCCTTTTAAAAACAACACATTTTGGGATGAAAACTAAAAAAAAGCGTATGAATCTACAGTGGTTCAGGTACATTATCTTAAAACAGAATGTCACAGAAATGTCCAAAACTTAGAATTTACTGTAGAGGGAGAGAGAGGACATTCAGCACAATGGCAGCTGTTTCTTTTTTGCCTCTTGGATGGCAACCATCAGGGTTCAGTGCTGCTCCTCTGGAATCACCCACCCCCCACCCGCACTGTTCCAGACACAGAAACGGCCTGATTAACATTAACATGTACATTGCTGGCACATCGAGGCACAGCTGCCTCACATCGTCAGGGACCCGGGTTTGATTCCACCCTCGGGCAACTGTCCGTGTGGAGTTTTCACTTTCTCCCTGTGTCTGCATGGGTTTCCTCCGCGTGCTCCGGTTTCCTCCCACAGTCCAAAGACGTGCAGGTTATGTGGATTGGCTGTGCTAAATTATCCATAGAGTCCAGGGATGTGTTTAGGTCAGGTGGATTAGCCATGGGAAATGCAGGATTACAAGGTAGGGGGCTGGGTCTGGGTGGGATGCTCTTCAGAGTGCTGGTATGGACTTGATGGATCAAATGGCCTGTTTCCACACTGTAAAGATTCTATGATTCTATGAAATTCAAAGCCTATTAAGATCAAATAGGTCATGTGTGCACAATCTCAACACAGAGTCTTGGAGCACAATAACTGAAGAAATGTTGCATTGTCCAAAGTGACTTCTTCCTTGATGTGTGATGGAATGCTCCCCACTATCTTGGATGGCTTCAGCTCCAACAGTGTTCAAGAAACTTGACCATATCTAGTTCAAAGCAGCCACTTGATTGGTGTCACCCTCCCTCTCTCCACCATCAACACACAGTCGCAACAATGTGTGCTATCTACAAGGTGTGTTGCAGCAACTCACCAAAGATCCTCAGACAGCACCTTCCGAGCCCTTGACCACTTCCATCCAGAAGGACAAAGGCAACGGATACAGGGGAACACCACCGCCTGCAAGCTCCCCTCCAAGCCACTCACCATCCTGACTTGGAAATATATCGCCGGTCCTTCACTATCAGAGTAGAGTTTTTATTAAGTTTTAAAATGTTGCCCATGCACAGATTGAACAAATAGAAGGTGAACCAATGCAGTTGGCATTCGTCATCAGATTGCTAGTGTCCACAGATGTTCTGTTAAAAAAAAAACTGATCCTGGTTTCTCCAAGGCACCAATCTTCAAATTGATACCTGACCCCACCGTTTTGGTTGAGGGGTGCTGTGGTTGGCGGGCTTGCTGAGTTTGCTTGATTTTCCACCTGATACTTTTCTCCTCCCTCTCTTCATTCAAATCACAACAAGAACTAAAATTCAAGTCAAGTGGAATTCATAACCAACATTAACATTCCAGCAAGATTCCATTTGTCATTGCTTGGTCGTGCAGAAGGTAAGTTTTGCTGAAACAATAAAGATTTGGTCAATGCTTTTCAAGTTGCACTTGCCAGGACCCTAAACCAATTTAAGAGGGGGGGAAAAAATAATCAAAAAACAGGAGAGTGCTGATTGGTTGCTGAATGGATTCTGATTGCTAGAGGTGTTGCCATGGAGAGACACTGAGGTTTGAACAACAGATGACACTAGCTTACAGGTAGTAAGAACTGCACATGCTGGAGTCAAAGATAACACAGAGTGGAGCTGAAGGAACACAGCAGATCAGGCAGCACCAGAGGAGCAGGAAAGTTGACGTTTTGGGTCGGGACCCTTCTACAGAAAATAACACTTCTTCTGAAGATGATACCAGTTGTTTTTCTGCAGTCGTAATATGAGGGGTGTTCACCACTAAAAGGATGTTGCCATCAAATGATAAAATTAGAAAGATGATATGTGAATTTCAGTGCTGATGGGATGCCAAGTATGTAGCCTATATCATAAAGACTGACCAATTGAGTCAAACATTACTAACCAAACCCAACCAGCTGCACTTACAAAACCTGCAGTACACTATCCAATGCTAGATGTGATTCTGCAAATTTTGCCAAGTTGTTGTGAGTGTGTGAAGAATTGTGCTAGCAACTAATTTAAAATTGTCTGTCAGACTTCCAGGGTAATGCACTTTCATGTACTGAACGCTGCGTAGATTAGCACGCAGACCCCTGTTCTTTGCAGATGTAAGAACTATGCTAAAGAAGCTGCATCCTGTTCAACTCAACAAAATTAGCTGCTTCATTGAGTATGCCTTGAGCAATCAGAGTTAATATTCCTAGTTTAGAATTTCAACAAAGCTTGCAGTTAACTGACAGTCATCTTTAACGAGTGCCTTCAGCATGGGAATCCCTCAACCAATCAACGACCACTTGCCAACTATCTCCTGTCACAGTCTAACTACTGTCCCTATAAATTTGTATCCTATGAATTGTCCTAACGAATACAAGATGAAAGATTTTGCCGCTATGTCTTTTGTCAGCAATGCTCAGGATTCTCTTATTGATTTCCAAACCCTCTTCCAGCTCCTTTATACCATAGCAGACTCATTCTCTTCTCAATATGGTCTTTACCTCTCGTTTATGATATTGGTTTTATTGCAGGAGTTTGAGCCCGAGGAGTACAAGTCATTCAAGAACAAAGTCATCATCAGGAAGAGCGATGTGAGGGAATATGAAGCTGACCTGAAGAAAGAATTTGCAGGATGGTTGGAAGCAGGATGGAAAGACAAAGTAGGTTTTCTCATTGTCAAAGTCATTGCTTCAATGTGTTTTTTTTTCCCGTGGGATGTGGGCCTCACTGGCAAGACCAGTATTTGTCAGCCATCCCCAAGTGCCCTTGAACTGAATGGTTCACAAGACCATTTTGAAGGACAAATATGTGCCACCCCCATTGGCTGTGGGTCTGGAGTCACAATTAGGCCAGACAAAGTAAGGACGGCAGATTTTTTTCCCTGAAGGACATTAGTGCACCAGATATTTCTTATATATCGAAAAATTGTTTAATGGACACACCATCAGACATGGTAGTGTCATATTCCAGACTAATTCACTGTATTTAAATTTCATCAGCTACAGTGTGTGATTTGTACTGCAACTATTCTAGATTATTAGTGTTCTCTAGATTACTGAACAAGGGATGTCACTACTTCACCACCATCTCCCCATTAGGTAGCAACACCTAGAATGAGTAGTATAACAGGCCCATTCTTGTCTCTGCATTAAATATAGACCACCTTTCATCTCTCTTCTACCCGATGAGTGTATTCTTTCTACTTAGAAATACACATGAACCAAAAATATCAGTTGTAGGAGTAAGGGGTAGGCTATTCAGCTCTTTGAGCCTTCTCTGCTATTCAACATGATTGTGGCTTGGATTTGGATTTGAACTTCACTTTCCCATCTGCTCTCCCTTTCCCTGAGAGACCAAAGCTCCGACCATCCCAATCTCAAACATATTCATGAATTTAGTTTGATTTATTGTTGTCACATTACCTAGGTATAGTGAAAAGTTTTGTTTTGCGTGCAGTACAGACTGATCATACCTTAGAAAGATCATACAGTGATTGAATGGAGTGAGGAATACAAAGTTATGGCTGCAAAGAAGGTACTCAAAAAAACAAGATCAACATTAGATTTGAAATTTGAGAGGTTCATTCAGAAGTCCAATAATGAAGATGTGGAGGTGCTGATGATGGACTGGGCTGGACAAGGTCAGAAATCCACGACACTAGGTTATAGTCCAACAAGGTTATTTGAAATCACAAGCTTTCGGAGTGCAGCTGGAGCAACGCTCTGAAATCTTGTGATTTCAAATAAACCTTTTGGACTATAATCTGGTGTTGTGTGACTTATGACAAAGTCCAATAACAATGGGGAAGAAGCTGTTCTTGAACCTGTTGGTAAGTGCATTTAAGCTTCTGTGAAGGAGCATCCATGGCCATTGATTGTTGAAAACGTCAAAGATATCCAACCTTTTGTGTGAAGAGATTTCTCCTCATCTTAGTCCTAAATGATTATCCTGATGCTGCATACCCATGTTTTATATTCGCTAAGCAGAGGAAATAATGTCTTATCCTTCTCGTTGTCAATTCCTTTCTGAAATGTGAACGTTTCCAGTGATTTGTTCAGTGTGGTCCCTCTGCATCTCACAAATCAGCAATATCTCATTACTTCATAGAACATAGAACTGTACAGCACAGTACAAGCTCTTCGGCCCACAATGTTGTGCCGAACTTTTACCCTAAACCTAAGGTCTATCTAACCTCCACTCCTACGTTATACTATCATCCATATGCCTATCTAATAGCCGCTTAAATGCCCCTAATGTGGCTGACTCCACTACCCTCTCCGGCAATGCATTCCACGCCCCAACCACTCTCTGAGTAAAGAACCTACCTCTGATGTCTCCCCTATATTTACCTCCCCTCACTTTAAAACTATGCCCCCTTGTAATAGCTACCTCCACCCTAGGAAAAAGTCTCTGGCTGTCCACTCTATCTTTATCTCTGATCATTCAAAGACAGTTTGGATAATTTCTAGCCAACATCTTAGCATTTGCCTTTAATAGGCTTTTATTTTCCTCCACAGATCTCTTACTATTGTTCTGCTTTCTGATGCACACAGGAACCTGAATAGGATAGCAGCAATCTTGTTATGCAGCGAGCATTTAGGGTCTGGACTGCAATTCCTGCGAGTATGTTAGAGTCAGATTTTACAGAGGCTTTCGAAATTGGAAACAGAAACAGAAATTGCTGGAAAAGCTCAGCAGGTCTGGCAGCATCTGTAAAGAGAAATCAGTGTTAATATTTTGGGGTCCTGTGACCCTTCTTCAGAACTACTTTTTTGATATAGCAGCAAGACAGGGATTGTCAGGTTGAAAATCTGAGATTTTACTCTGTAGCAGCTAGACAGGGACTTCCAATTCTGAAGAAGGGCCACAGGGCCCAAAATGTTAACTCTGATTTCTTTCTCCACAGACGTGCTGACTTTCTCCAGCAATTTCTGTTTTCGTTTCTGATTTCCAGCATCTGCAGTTCTTTCAGTTTTTTTTTGAAATTGGATTCTTGGCAGACAGAGAAAAGAAACTCTTTGCAAGATTGAATGGAAAGGGATTTGGGAGTGAGATGATGTGAGTTGCAGAGGGCCAGAATGGGTACAGCAGGCTGAATGGTCTGTAGCTGTGCTGTAACCATTCCATTGTTCCATATGATGAAACATTTGGGAAAACAGCTCAACTAGAATTGGTGCCTTAAATAATTTAAGATGGAAATTTGAAGAAAATTATTTTGCTCAAAGGGTCATGAGTCTGTGGAGTTTTCTTGCTAGGATTGATGTGGAGGCAATATCCTTAACTATTTTTTGATACCAGAGATTGATAGATTCTTGACCAATGAGGAGGTCATAGTGTGTTTGTTGGATGTGAAGTTGAGACCACAATCAGATCACCTATGAGTTTATTGAACAATTGAATAGGTTATATAAGACGAGTAGCTTATTCTTGCTTCTAATTCATATTGTATTGTATCATATGACTCCTAAGATAGGAAAAGATAGATGGACTTTGGTTTCTTGTGTATTTTGGGTGTCCAAAGGTCTAGTAAAGACAAGGCCCATCTCTTCAGGATTGCTGGTTGGAAATGCCATATTGCTATGCATCACAAAATTGTTACCGCACGGAAGGAGGCCATTCGGCCCATTGTGCCTACACCAGCTCTACAGAAGAACACCATAATCTAGTTAATCTCCTGCTTTATCCTCATATCCTTACACACTATTTTTAACCAAATAACCATGTAAAGCTGACTGAAAACAAAAATGCTGGAGATCACAGCGGGCCAGGCAGCATCCATGGAGAGAGGGGACGTTTCGAGTAAAGATGCTTTAGCTCTGATGAAGAGTCATCTAGACTCGAAACGTTAGCTTGCTTTCTCTCCACAGATGCTGTCTGACCTGCTGTGAACTCCAGCATTTGTTGTTTTCAGTACAGATTCCAGCATCTGTAGTAACTTGCTCCTAAATCATCCAATGCCCTCCTGAATGCCTGAATTGAATCTGCATTCGCCACATTTCCAGACAGTGTATTCCAGGCCCTAACTACTCACTGAAAAGTTTTTCCTTGTATTACCATTATTTCTTCTGCAGATTACTATAAATCTATGTCCTCTTGTTCTTGATCATTTTACAAACCCATTTTACTCTACCCAGATAACTCACAATTTTAAAAAAAAGCTCCACTAAATCTCCTCTCAGCCTTCTCCTCTCCAAGGAGAACAGTTCCACTTTCTTCAATTCATTCTCATCACTGAAGTTTCTCATTCCTAGATCAATTCTTGTTACTTGCTTCTTCACCCTCTCCAATGCGTTCTCATCTTTCCTATAATGCGGTGCCATGAACTGTACACAACACTCCAGTTGAGGTCCACCAAGTAATATAGACAAGTTCAACATCACCTCCTTGCTCTTGTACCCCTATGAGTAAAGCCAAGGACGCTATGTACTTTATTAACCGCTACCTCCACCTGTCCTTCCCCCTTCAATGATTTGTGCATGTAGACACTCAGGTACCTCTGCTCCTGCAGTCCCTTTAGAATTTTGTCCCCTATGTTATATTGCCTTTCAATGTTCTTCTGACCAATGTGTCCCCTCACACTTCACTGCATCAAAACCATGAATTGTCTGTGCTGTTTACCCCAGGCGGAAGGTGTGTTGCTTTTACTGAACCCGGAAGCTGAAAGGACATTTCAGGACAGTGAGAAAAGAAACTTTCCACTTCTGGTTGAAACACTACAAAAGATGGATTTGTTACCTGCTTTATTTTTTGCGTAAGTACCTTTGGACTATCACTGGTGGTAACTTTTTTTTTCTATTCATTAATGGGATGAGGACATTGCTGGCCAGGCAGCATTTATCATCCATCCCTAATTGTCCAGAGGGCAGTTCAGAATCAACCACATTGCTGTGAGTCTGGAGTCACATGTAGGCCAGACCAGGTAAGGATGGCACTTTCCTTCCCTAAAGGGCATTAGGGAACCAGATGTGTTTTTTTAAATGACAATTGGCAATGGATTCATGGTCATCATTAGATTCTTAATTCCAGATATTTTCATTGAATTCAAATTCTACCATCTGCCGTGGCTGGATTCGAACCCAGGTCCCCAGAACATTATCAGGGATCTCTGGACTAACAGTCCAGCGATAATACCACTCGGCCATCACCTCCCCATAATGGAATTGCTGCTGTGCTGTAAGGAAATGATTACACTCTTTGAAAAAACACAAGGCTTATTTCACAATGCGTATGGAGCCTGGATTTCTGTGGGGCTTTGGCAGCTGGTCCATCATAACATCAGGGGCAGGTTTGCAGAAATCCCCCCAACAACGTAAGAACTAGAAGCAAGAGCAGGCCATTCAGCTCCTCAAGTGTTCTCTGCCGTTTAATACAATCACGACTGATCCCATCTCAGTCTCAACTCTACTTTCCTGCCCAATCTCCATAACCTGTTACTCATTTAAAATCTGTCTGTCTCCTTCTTAAATTTATTCAGTATCCACCGCACTCTGAGGGAGTGAATTCCACAGATTCACGACCCTTTAGAGAAGTAATTTCTTCTCATCTCTGTTTTAAATCTGCGATCCTTGCATGAAAACTTTGACGTCTTGTTCCACAATCGCCCACATGGAGGCAGCATGGTGGCTCAGTTATGCTGCAGCTCTATAAAACCCTGGTTAGACCACACTTGGAATATTGTGAGATAATAAGGTGTAGAGCTGGATGAACACAGCAGGCCAGGCAGCATCAGAGGAGCAGGAAGGCTAACGTTTCGGGCCTAGACCCTTCTTCAGACCCTTCTTATACTTGGAATATTGTGCTGAGTTCTGGTCGCCTCATTATAGGAAGGATGTGGAAGCTTTAGAGAGGGTGCAGAGATTTACCAGGATGCTGCCTGGACTGGAGGTCAGGTCTTATGAGGAAAGGTTGAGGGAGTTAGGGCTGTTCTCATTGGAGCGAAGAAGGATGAGAGGTGACTTGATAGAGGTGTACAAGATGATGAGAGGCATAGATACAGTGGATAGCCAGAGACTTTTTCCCAGGGTGGAAATGACTGTTAAGAGGTGGCATAATTTTAAGGTGATTGGAGGAAGGTATAGGGGAGATGTCAGAGGTAGGTTCTTTACACAGAGGGTGGTGGGTGTGTGGAATGCGCTGTCGGCAGTGGTAGTGGAGTTAGATACTTTAAGGACATTTAAGCGACTCTTGGATAGGCACATGGAGGATAGTAAAATGTAGGGTATGCAGGGTAGATTGATCTTAGAGTGGGATAATAGGTCGGCACAATATCATAGGCTGAAGGGCTGGTACTGTGCTGTACTGTTCTATGTTCTATGTTCTAATATCCACTCCACCCTGCTCTGAACCTGACAGAGGGAAACCCTAGATTTAGCAAAAGCCCTGGCTAGAATGGCCACTCACCAACCCATGGTCACTCATCCTTGGCACGAGGCAGCTCCCAATCCCAGGCTCAACACAAGCAACAGCACCAAACACATCCCCCGCAACCCCCCCCCCCCCCCCCCCCCCCCCCCCCCCACCCCCACCCCACCATCCCAACCACAATCCGCTGTCCCCGTTCCCTGGATAATGTCTTCACTTGCAAGTGCCTCATTGCTACCACTTTCTTACCAACTGCTTTCTGCTTCTCCAGTCAGAGCTTGTTTCACCCAGACCACAGGACATAGGAGCAGAAGTAGGCCATTCAGCCCATTGAAATTACATCACCAGTCAGTGAGATCATGGCTAATCTAATAACCCTCAGCTCCACTTTCCTGCCTTTTCCCCATAGCTTTCTGAGTCACTTACTGATTAAACATCTGTCTATCTCGGCCTTGAGGATACTCAATGACCCAGCCTCGACAGCTCTCTCAGTGGTGAAGAATTCTACAGTTTCACGAGCCCCTAAGAGATGAAATTCCTCTTCATCTGTGTGTTAAATGTGTGACCGCTTATTCTGCAATTGTACCCCCTGATCTTAAACTCTCCCACAAGGGGAAACAATCGTTCTTCATCTACTTTGTCAAGTCCCCTGAGAATCTTGGAACAAAAACAAAGTTGCTGGGAAAGCTCAGCAAGTCTGGCAGCATCTGTGAAGGAAAAAAACAAAGTTAACATTTTGAGTCTGGTGACCCTTCCTCAGAACCTTCCCCTAAGAATCTTCTATGTTTCAACAAGTTAGTCTCTCATTCTTCTAAATGCCAATGATCACAGGGCCAATCTACTCAACCTGTCCTCATAAGACACTCCCCCCATATGCAGGATCAGCCTGGTGACCCTTCTCTGGATTCCCAAGTTTGTTGCCAATGACGAACCTATCTGCAACAAGAACAGGAGAGTACCAGTCCATGATTGGAGATGCACCATTTCCCTCCTATCAGGATGAGGATGGGGAGATAAGGGGGTTCCAATGGACGATGATGTTTCCTGACAGACCGCCCAATGGATGAATTTCCTGGGTCTTCTGAAGAGCTCTCTGGGCAGATTCACACCCCTCCCTTGTACTGTGAGCATTGATTGGCTGTAAAATGCTTTAGGATTCCCACAGGTTGTAAAAAAGGCACTGTAGAAATGTGAGCTACCCCTTTACATTCATAGGATCCCTACAGTGTGCAAGTAAGTCATTGGGCCCATCAAGTCCACATCAATCCTCCACAGAGCACCCCAGCCAGATCCATCCTCTCCCTAACCCTAATCCTGCATTTCCCATGGCTAATCCAAGTACATTGCACACTAGGGGAAATCTGGCATGGCCAGTCCTCCTGCCTGCACATCTTTGGACTGTGGGAGGAAACCCGCACAGGCACAGAGAGAATGTGCATCATTCTCTCAGCCAGTCAACCGAGGCTGGAACTGAACAGAGGTCCCTGGCGCTATGAGGCAGCAGTGCTAACCACTGAGCCACCGGGCCACCCTGAATGGAAACTGTTCCATTCTCCAGCTCTCCACCATCCCTTGCTGCCGCTAACACAGTGTAATATTAGTTTCAAATGCTGTTTTGTCTTTTTGCTGTTGTAGATTTGACATTGATTTGGTTGAGCGATTTGCTGGTGAGCTGTTGGTTCATTTGTTGGAAAAGGCGAAGAGCAAAAGGAAGCCAAATGACATGAAGGAGAAACAGAAATTGGAAAACAAACTGCGGAAGCTGTCGAAACACCTGGAGAAAGAAGATACCTCGTAAGTCTTTTTATCAAAGACAGATTTCATCCCTACATCCCTTCCAGCATTGCAAATTAAAACGGTGCCCAGTTTTGGTCACAATGTGATGATGTTGGTGAATGTAGTGGGAGCACTGACTCAGTCAGTAGTTTTGGGCTCCATCTCTAAGGAAGGATGCGCTGGCAAAGGAGGGGGTCCACATGAGATTTCCAAGAATAATCCCAGGGATGAAGGGCTTGTCATTTGAGGAGTGGTTGAGGACTCTGGCTCTGTACTCAATGAAGTTTAGAAAGATGAGGGTGGGATCTGATTGAAATTTACAAAATACTGAGAGGCCTGGATAGAGTGGACATAGAGAAGATGTTTCCACTAGTAGGAGAGACTAGGACCCAAGGGCACAGCCTCAGAGTGAAGGGACGACCCTTTAGAACTGAGGAGGAGTTTCTTCATCCAGAGGGTGGTGAATCTTTGGAACTCATGGCTACAGAGGGCTGTGGAAGCCAAGCCGTTGGGTGTATTTAAGACAGAGATAGATAACTTCTCAATTAGTAAATGGATCAAGGGTTATGTGGAGAAATCAGGAGAATGGGGTTGAGAAACATACCAGCCACGATCGAATGGCAGAGCAGACTCGATGGGTGAAATGGCCTAATTCTGCTCCTGTACCTTATGGTTTTATGGTGTCAGAAGGGATCAAATGCCAAATCAGATACTCAAATCCCACCACGGCAGATAGTCGAATTTGAATTCAATAAGAATCTGGAATTATCAGTCTAATGATGACCATGAAACCATTGTCAATTGTCAGAAAAATCTATCTGGTTCACTATTGTCCTTCTGTGAAATTAAAAGCTTTCTTTACCTGATCTATCTTGTGTGTGACTCCAAGTCCACAGAAATGTAGTTGGCTCTTAACTGCCTCTGGGCAATTAGGGATTAATAAACACTGGCCCAGCAAGCAACATCTGCATTCTATGAATGAATTTTTAGAAACTAAAACTAGGGAAATGCTGCACTCCTTGAGGGAGATGCTGCACGGTTACTTGTGCTATCCTTTTGGGGAGAACTTTAACCCACAACATGCATTTCCATACAGCTCCTTTCATAACCTTGGGGTCCCCCAAAGTGCTTCATGGTCTTTGAAAAAGCACTTTTCAAATGCAGATCTCTGTTCCACGAACAGAAACACGATAATGTCCTGTTTTTAGGGATATTGGTCAATAAATAGAGATAGTAAGAACTGCCGATACTGGAGTTTGAGATAACACAGTGTGGAGCTGGATGAACACAGCAGGCCAGGCAGCATCAGAGGAGCAGGAAAGCTGACGTTTCGGGTTGGAACCTTTCTGAGGAAGGGTCCCGACCCGAAACGTCAGCTTTCCTGTTCCTCTGATACTGCCTGGTCACTTGGTCAATAAATAGGAATTGGCCAGGACGCTGGGGAAATCTCCTCCTTCTCTTCAAAATAATGTTAAATGTCCTTAAATAAAAGAAAAATACTGACGATGCTGGAAATCTGAAATAAACACAGAGAATGCTGGGGGATCTCAACAAGACTGGCAGTATATGTGGAGAGAGAAACCAAGTTAACGTTTCAAGTCTGGTATGAATCTTCAGAACTGAAGAAGAGTCATATTGAATTTGAAACTGTTGTCTTCGCTACTAAGCAATTAACTGCTGGAGATTGAGTGTTGGTTTTCACAATTGGTTTATTCAAGTAAAACAACAAGAGGTCTCCCTTACTCACTCGTCCGTAGCAAAACTGTGAAGTATATGAACACGTTGATTACTTTATACTGTTAGCAGCTCGTTATCCACATTCCAATCTTCCTTCAAACACAGTATGCCGGGGCGACGGGGGTTTGATCTACAGGGAGAGGCTGAATCGGCTGGAACAAAAACAAAGTTGCTGGAAAAGCTCAGCAGGTCTGGCAGCATCTGTGAAGAAAAAAAATCAAAGTTAACGTTTTGGGTTCGGTGACCCTTCCTCAGAACTATTTTCCCTGATGCTGAGGGATGACCTTATAGAGGTTTATAAAATCTTGAGGGGCATGGATTGGGTGAAAAACAAGGGTCTTTTCCCCATAGTAGGGGAGTCTAAAACTAAGGGGCATAGGTTTAAGATGAGAAGGGAAAGATTTAAAAGGGACCTAATAGGCAACTTTTTCAAGCAGAGGGTGGTGTGTGTATGGAATGAGCTGCCAGAGGAAATGGTGGAGGCTGGTACAATTACAACATTTAAAAGGCATCTGCATGGGTATACGGCAAATGGGACTAGGTTAATTTAGGATATCTGGTCGGCATGGACGAGTTGGAGCAAAAGGTCCGTTTCTGTGCTGTACAACTCTATGACTCTATGACTGTAAATAATGTCCCTCTGTATCACAGATTAATGCTTTAAGGTCTCTTTCACTCAGCCAACAAGTAAACAATCAGATAGTACGAACTGCCGATGCTGGAGTCAGAGATAACACAGTGTGGGGCTGATGGAACACAGCAGGCCAGGCAGCATCAGAGGAGCAGGAAAGTTGACATAACAAGGTGTAGAGCTGGATGAACACAGCAGGCCAAGCAACATCATAGGAGCAGGAAGGCTGACGTTTCGGGCCTAGACCCTTCTTGGTTGGGACAACCCCATTCTCCTGACTTCTCCACATAACCCTTGATCCAATAACTAATTGAGAACCTATCTATCTCTGTCTTAAATACACTCAACAGCTTGGCTTCCACAGCCCTCTTTTGCAATGAGTTCCAAAGATTCACCACCCTCTGGATGAAGAAACTCCTCCTCAGTTCTAAAGGGTCGTCCCTTCACTCTGAGGCTGTGCCCTTGGGTCCTAGTTTCTCCTACTAGTGGAAACATCTTCTCTATGTCCACTCTATCCAGGCCTCTCAGTATTTTGTAAGTTTCAATCAGATCCCACCCTCATCTTTCTAAACTCCATTGAGTACAGACCCAGAGTCCTCAACCGCTCCTCAAATGACAAGCCCTTCATCCCTGGGATTATTCTTGGAAATCTCATGTGGACCCCCTCCTTCAGAAATTTGCTTTTTGTATGGAGCTATCGTTTATCCCTTTTAAGGAAGAGGCTGGATAGCTGGGACTTTTTTCACTGGAGCATTGGAGGTTGAGGGGTGACCTTACAGAGATTTATAAGATCATGAGGGGCAGAGATAGGTGAATAGCCAATGTCTTTCCCTATGGTGGGGCAGTTCAAAACTAGAGGGCATATTTTTAAGGTGAGAGGGGAAAGATTTAAAAGGGACATGAGGGGCAACTCTGAGGTTGGCTCTGAGAACTGCCGGAAGAAGTGGTAGGCACAGGACAATTTCAACATTTAAAAAACATTTGGACAGGTACATGAATGGAAAAGGTTTTAGAGCGATATGGGTTAAAAGCAGGCAAGAGGGACTAGTTTAATTTGGGAGTATGGTTGATGTGGATGCATTGGACCAAAGACTCTATTTCCATGCTGTATATCTCTGTGACTCTGACTCCATGAACTCTAAATTTCCTCCTATCAAAATGCTAACTCTGCTTCTGTCTCCATAGGTGTTGCCAGACCTGCTGAGCTTCTCCAGCACTTTGTGTTTGGTTCACAGCATCCTTTATTGCTGCCCTAAAGGATAGACAGGCCCTGTTTAATGCCATATCCAAAAGATAACACTGCTATCCATGCAGCATACTTCAGTCTTGCACTGTGAGGATCAGTTTGAATTGTGTGTTCAACTTATTGGATTTGGACATGATCCCAGGTGCCTAACACTGTTGTGGATCACTACAGATCCCTCATAATTCTCAACCACCAAAACTGCTGGCTTCAATTCCTCACCTTGGATCATTGGTCACCAGGTTCTTTCTTTATTTTTATTTCAAAAGGACTGACCTCACCAGAAAGCAAAGTGAGCAACTCGTACTTTACCGTACTGAATACAACACGTTAGAGCAAAAATACCGGAAACTTTGTGAGCTGCCTCCAGGCTGTACTTTTGCAGAGATTTCAACGACAGATGAACAGGTATTGGGTTAGATCTTGCTGAAGTAAGACATCTCACACCGCACATGGAACTGTTGATAGGGCCAGAGGAGGTGGTGCAGGGCTGGTTGCCACACTGGATGAGGAATCCAGAATCTCAAGCCTATTGTTCAGGGAGTCTGGGTTCAAAGCCCACAATGACAGATGATGAAATGTGTGTTCAATAAAATAGGGCACAAAAATGTTTTAATGTCAACCATTACTGACTTTTAGAAAAACCCATCTGGTTCACTAACTCCCTTTATAGAAAGAAATCCGAAGCCCTAACCTGGTCTGCTTTGACTCCAGCAATGTGGTTAATTCTTTAATTGCTCTCTGGGCAATTAGCAATGGGCAATTACTGTTGGTCTCACCAGTGACACCCACCTCCCATGAGTGAATAAAAAAAAACAGGAACGTTATCACACAGAACCCAACCCAGCCCATTGTTTCTGGCTTAGTCCATTTCTAGCCTTTCCCATGTTAACCTCATCTTCTAGCACAGGAGCCATACCATTGCAGATTATAGCACTCCAGGTGCAGATCCAGGTACTTTCTAATGGCTCTGATCTTCCTGCAAGTAGCTGCTTCCAGTTCGCTTTGGTCAGAGTTTTTTTCTTAAATTCATTTGTGGAATCTGGGCATCACTGGCCAGGTCAGCATTAATTGCCCATCCCTAGCTGCCCTTGAGAACGTGCGGTGAGCTACCTTCTTGAACCTCAGCAGTCCATGTGCTGTAGGTTGGCTCATTAGGAAGGGAATTCCAGGATTTTGACCCAGCGATAGTAAAGGTGCAGTGATATAGTTCCAAGTCAGGATGGTGAATGGTTTGGAGGGGAACTTGTAGGTGCTGGTGTTCCCATGTATCTTCTGCCCTTGTCCTGCTAGATGGAAATGGTCGTGGGTTTGGAAGGTGCAGTCAAAGGATCTTTGGTGAATTTCTGCAGTGCATCTTGTAATTGGTACACACTGCTGGTACTGAGCGTCGGTGGTGGAGGGAGTTGATGCTTGTGGATGTAGTGCCAATCAAGCGGGCTGCTTTGTTCTGGATGGTGTCAAACTACTGAAGTATTGTTGAAGCTACATCCATCCAGGCAAGTGGGGAGTATTCCATCACACTCCTGACTTGTGCCTTGTAGATGGTGCACAGGCTTTGGGGAGTCAGGAGGTGAGTTACTCCCTGCAGGATTTTACCCTCTGAGCTGCTCTTGTAGCCACTGCTTTAAAGTGGCAAGTCCAGATCCTTCTTTTGATATTAAAATTTGTCTGCCCCAGTTCAGAACCTTTATTTCTCATTGATCTTTGTCCTTAGCCATAATTGCCTTAAACCCTTACTGAATTATGGTCACTCTCACTGAAATGCTCCCCCACTGCCACATCTACCGCTTATCCAACTTTTTTCCTTAAACTTCAGTCCAGTAGCAGCCCATCTCTTGCAAGAGTGTCTATATGTTGGCTTTTCAGTCATACTCCTTCCCCATAAGCCCTGCATTCACTGTATATATATCACATTTTCCTAGCTGTGATCACTTCTGAGGAAGGGTTACTCAACTTGAAATGTTAACTCTGTTTTCTTTCCTGTGACACTGCCAGACCTGCTGAGTTCCTCCAGCAATTTCTGTTCTGGTATTAAGAGACACTGGACCAAATCAGTGACTGGTATTGGCTGATGATATGATTTGTCTTTCAGACAAATTAATTGATGATAAAATAGTAATTAGAGGCATTCACAGAAATTAGAAACCAGAATCAGGTTTAAATAACACACTGGAAGAGAAGGCTCCACTAATATCCTCATCCTCAATGATGGAAGAGTCCAGCACATTAGTGCAAAAAATAAGGCTGAAGTATTCGCAGCAGACTTCAGCCAGAAGTGCTGAGTGGATGATCCATCTCGGCCTCCTCCAGTGGTCCCCAGCATTACAGATACCAGTCTTCAGCCAATTCAATTCACTCCACGTGATATCAAGAAATGGTTGGAGGTACTTGATGCTGCAAAGTGAAAAATTGACCAGGTATGTCATGTACATAAGAAGCAGGATAAATCCAACCCGGCCAATTACCGCCCCATCAGTCTCCTCTCGATCATTTGGAAAGTAATGGAAGGTGTCATCAACAGCGCTATCAAGCAGCACCTGCTCAGAAATAACCTGCTCAGTGACGCCCAGTTTGGGTTCCGCCAGGGCCGCTCAGCTCCTGAACTCATTACAGCCTTGGTTCAAACATGGACAAAAGAGCTGATTTCCAGAGGTGAGGTGAGAGTGACAGCCCTTGACGTCAAGGCTGTATTTGACTGAGAGTGGCATCAAGGAGCCCTAGTAAAACTGGAATCAGTGGGTACCAGTGGGCAAACTCTCTGGTGGTTGGAGTCATACTTGACACATAGGAAGATGGTTGTGGTTGTGGGAGATCAATCATCCCAGCTTGAGGACATCTCTGCAGGAGTTCCTCAGGGTAGTGTCCTCAGTCCAACCACTTTCAGCTGCTTTATCAATGACCTTCCCTCCATCATATAAGGTGAGAAGTGGGGATGTTCGCCAATGATTGTACAATGTTCAGCACCATTAGTGAATCCTCAGATACTGAAGCAGTCCATTTCACATGCAACAAGATCTGGACAATATCCAGGCTTGGGCTGACAAGTGGCAAGTGACATTCATGCCACACAAATGCCAGGCTCTGACCATCACCAATAAGAGACAATCTATCCACCACCCCTTGACATTCAATGGTGTTACCATCACTGAATCCCCCACTAACAACATCCTGGGGGTTACCATTAACCAGAAACTCAACTGGACTCACCACGTTAACAGAGTGGCTACAAGGGCAGGCCAGAAGCCAGGAATACTGCAACAGGTAATTCACTTCCTGACTCCCCAAAGCCTGTCCACCATCTACAAGACCTGGATGAGTGCAGCTCCAACAACACTCAAGAAGCCTGACACCACACAAAACAAAGCAGCCCGCTTGATTGGCACCGCATTCGCAAACATCAATTCCCCCCACCACCAACACTCAGTAGCATCAGTGTGTACTATCTACAAGATACATTACAGAAATTTACCAAACATCCTCAGACAGCACCTTCCAAACCCATGATGACTACTTCCCAGAAGGACAAGGGCAACAGATACATGAGACATCACCACCTTCAATTTCCCCTTCAAAGCCACTCACCATCCTGACTTGGAAATATATTGCTGTTCCTTCACTGTCGCTGGGTCAAAATCCTGGAATTCCCTCCCTAATGGCATTGTGGGTCAACCTTCAGGAGGTGGTCTGCAGCGGTTCCAGAAGGCAGCTCACCACCAACTTCTCAAGGGCAACTAGGAATGGGCAAGAAATGCTGGCCAGCCCACATCCCAGATGATTCTATTTAAAAATGCATCACTATGCAGGGTTGTATTAAAGAGTGACTTTGTTCAATGGAGAAGTTATAATTTTGTATTAATGCAAATTCCTATAGAAAGAATCAAATTTCTTATAAATGATTTGGCAGGTTCAAAAGTCTTAGCCTCACCAAGGGTGCAGTAACAACCAGTGGAGGTAAAAGAAGTGAAACATTTCAAGGAGAGCACCCCGGATAGTTTCCTGAGTGTGTTGTGACAAGATCTCAGGCCCATAGAATTAGCAAGAAGAACAGGAGTCAATGAAACAGGGAGATGATCTGGAACTTTATGGTACCAAGACAGTGGAGGAGTGGACAGAGAACAAACAATAAATTAAATAACAAAGTTTAATCAAATAATGAACAAAAACAGAAATTGCTGGAAAAGCTCAGCAGGTCTGGCAGCATCTGTGAAGAAAAGAATCAGAGTTAACGTTTCGGGTCTAGCGACCCTTCCTCAGGAGCATTAACTCTGTTTTCTTCACAGATGCTGCCAGACCTGCTGAGCTTTTCCAGCAACTTCTGTTTTTGTTCCTGATTTACAGCATCTGCAGTTCTTTCGGTTTTTATTTAATCAAACAATTCCACTTTTATTCTTGCAGTTCCGGAATAAGATCTTCTTCCGTATGCGGAAAGCAAACTTTTCTGGGCACTTTCGGGCAATGCTTATGCGGGGAATTGGTTGTCATCATGGATCCCTGAATAACCGGATCAAACAAACTGTTGAGATGTTGTTCAGGCGAGGCTATATCAAGGTCAGTAAATATTATTTAATATTGCAGTTTTTCAAAACCTTTCTTGTGCTGATGGGCTGTAGATGGCCATCAGGTTAACAGGCTGAAGACAGACTGGCTTCATTTTCATTTGTGCTTAGGACAGGATGTCACCATTTGGGCAAGCGTTTATTAACAGTCAACAACATTTCTGTGGGCCAGGTGACATAAGGATGGCAGATTTCCTTTCTGAAAGAGCATCAGTGAACCAGATTGTTACATGGTCACCATTGGGTTTACCTCGAATTCCAGATTTTATTTTTGTATTGAATTCAATCTTCATCATTTGGAAATGATTGGACCCCTATCTCCAGAACCTTAGCATGGGATTCTGGATTAGAGCCAAGTGGCAGCACCATGATACCATTGACCCCCTGTTGAGAGAGCAAACCCATCTAAGAGGAGGATTAATTGGGAGCAGGACCTCTTTTCCCAGTAGTATGGGTGAGTGCTGAAATGATCTGCTAGTTCTGTGACGGTTGCTAACTCTCCATTGCATTCAGGATAACATTGGACTGGTTTCCTTTATTCGCTTACAGGATGTGGGCATCGCTGGCTGTGCCAGCATTTATTGCCCATCCCTAATTGCCCAGGGGGCAGTTAAGAGTCAACCAACATTGCTGTGGGTCTGGAGTCACATGTAGGCCGGGGCAGGTAAGGATGGCAGTTTCCTTCCCTAAAGGACATTAGTGAACCAAATGGGCTTTTCCAACAATCGGCAATGGATTCTTGGTCATCACTGGATCCTTAATTCCAGATTTTGATTAATTGAATTCAAATTCTACCATCAGCCATGGAGAGATTCGAAGCCGGGTCCCCAGAACATAGCCTGGGTCTCTGAGTTAACAGTCCAGCCATTGCCTTCTTAAAGAGGCAATGATAGCATCGTACAGAGTGGTGAATGCCTTGGTCTGTGAGATCCCCTGGGTTGGTTTTAATCACCTGAGTGGACTAGAGGATAATTTGTGATCTTTGTGTGTGAAATAACTGCACAGAAGTCAGTATCCATCGCCAAGTTGCACTTTATTTACACTGGCTATGGCCTACCAGCTCAGAGTCAGTCCCTGAAGTATATTGTCTGTCTCGCTGTGGGGAGGCATGTGGCCAAGCATTGGCATTCCTGCTGCCATTTCGGAATGTTTACATCTCCCAGGAGATTATTTGGTTGTGGGGAGGTGGCTGGGGAGGTGAGGCTGGGGGATGGAAGAAGACCGTAATATGAAATAGCAACAAGAATAGGCCATTCAGCCCCTCTGCCTGCTCGAGGATCATGACTGTTGTTTAATACAGATACCCGAGGAACCATAGCATGAGGCAGTTTGTCGGAAGAGTCAGTATTTCCTTGTTTGTCAACCTTATTTATTTCTATGTTTTTAACTGCTAGCCTGACTGACCGATAAATAAAACTTACCGTTATTCCTTAAACAATGTATGAAATATTGTCAGGTATCAAGAATGACAAAACTTAGGGAAAATTTGAACAGGATCAAGTACAAGGAAATGGTTAATTTGTGGTATTAATTTTTAGTAGTGACTTGCATCAGAGTTGTTGTGAGTTGCTAAAAATTACGAAACATGTACCCATCAGTTATTCTTGTGAAAGTGAAGTCTGAATAAGGTCATCCTTCAAGACATGTGAATTTCTCATGAAGAGAGTGCAAGAAAATGGTGTCACAGGGGCAAGGTGCAAGACTAGGGGATATTAGAATACATTACCCAGTGTGTGAAAAGACTATTGGCCCATCGTTTTCATTGAAAATTGAATTCACTGATACCTTGCATCACATAGTTGACACTGAGCCTATGTGTAGCTATTTACAATAATAGTTATTTGTCTGCACATTTATTGGCAATCAGGACAACTTTTGTATAATTATTTTTCAAGAAAGCCAATAATTGCCTCTGAACACTTTTAATCATCTGAAATAGTTGAAATTTATAGATGAAAATGGCCACATACGCAGAAAGCTCTCTGAAGCTGTTGATTAAATTTTCACATCAGTGAAAATGGTTAAAACTGTTTCTTTTTTTTTTGTGAAGGTGGTTAGTTCCACATCAACACTTGCTTTGGGAATTAATATGCCATGCAAGACAACTGTCTTTCTTCAAGATTCAGTGCACCTGGATTCCCTCAGTTACAGACAGGTAGGAGATACAGATTATGGTCAAATAATTATAATTTTTTTATTCCTTCATGGGCTGTGGGAATCACTGGCTATGCCAACATTTGTGGGCATTTATTGCCCGTTCCCAATTGCTTTGCCAGCAGCTAAAAGAGAACTGCATTGGTCAGACTATCTAAAGATAGCAGAGTTCCTTCCATAGAGGACATTAGAATTTTTTACAACAGTCATTAATGGTGTCACTAGATTTTTTTTTAAAATATTCCAAATTTGTTATTTCAATTTCACCACTTGCTCTGGTGGGATTTGAACATGTCCCCCTCCCCGCCAAGAATTTGGCCAGGCCTCAGGGATGCTGGGATAGTGACCACGCCGTTGACTCCCCTAACTGTGCAGGCTAAGACTGATACTTTCTACGTGGGAGGTGGGGGGAGGAGGGTTGTCAGATAGAACATGGTCCTGAGCCCAATATGGATCCCTAGTGCAGCCCAATGTGAAAATATGGGGGCCCTGGAATTAATCATAATAGTGTAGGATTTCTCTGGGTCTTACCAGGTGGCATTGATCCTCCCTGACCCTGACTTTCCCCATTAAAATGTCTTGATAGATTTTTGGCCCTGAGATCTCTCCTTTACCCTGATAACCTCTTCCCACTGGGTAAATGTCTGGACTAATGCTAGGGGTCTTCCATTGTGATCACCTGACTGAATCAATGACTGAGCTACTGAATGACCGACTGAATATCAACAGCACTCGAGAGTCAAGAATTCCAAAGACTCACAGCCCTCTGAGTGATGACATTTTTCCTCATCCCAGTGCTATACGGCCAGCTCCTTACCCTAGCTCTATGACCCCTAGTCTGGATTGTCCAGCCAAGGATAACAGACAGTCAGCATCTACAGATGCAAAACCGTACCTACAGACATCAAACCTCTATGATCAAGACTTTACTTGACTCACAGCCTAAGTTTGAAATTTAATTGTGTTTCTTCACTTTCCAGATGTCAGGAAGAGCTGGGCGTCGTGGTATGGATAATCTCGGGAAGGTTATTTTTCTGAACGTGCCTTTGCCTAAAGTGCAACGACTGATAAAAGCTAACGTCCCTCAACTGAAGGGCCAGTTCCCCCTGAGCATAACCTTTGTGCTCCGCCTCATGTTATTAGCAGCTAGGGCCGATGACAAGATTGATGCTCAGGCCAAGGTACTTTGCTCATTGCTTCTCTCTTTCTGTCAATGTCCTCTCCCTGTTCCCTTTCTGCGTTGCTGCTACCAAATCCAATTGATCAGTCATGCTTCTGGTCCCTGCCCAGTAAACCTCAATTTTATGATTCTCTTTGTTTTCAAATCCCTTCATGGCTTCACCCCATCTCTTCCCAATCACAGCTCCGTCATCTCTGCAGTCTTCCAATTCAAGTATCTCTGTTTTAGATCGTCTTGCCTTTGCAACTTCGCTCGAACACTAAGCCCTGTATTCCCTCCTTAAACCTCACCATCTCACTCCTGTTTTGAGATTCTTACTCCCTTTGTGTGGTTTGGTGCCAAATTCTATTTGTTTCTACTCCAGTGAAGCAACTTAGCATGATATATTGCGTAAAAGATAACATAAGTACAAATTGTTGTTTTACTGAGTGAATGAGGTTTAAGGCAATGTGGTATTCACAAGAGTTTAGCACTTGTGCAGAAGATGAAGACAACGTCAGGACTGGTTGTAATATTAAGCTCCTACCCCTTTTGTAATTATTGTGTAATTGCAATGGTGAAATTGAAGGATTTTTATAAGGCCAAGCTCAAAGGGCTGTGAATCGAGATGGACAGATGGAGCTAAGCTGCAGGTCAACCACGACTGTGTTGAATGACAGCTTTCAGGGGCTGAATGACCTTTCTGTGCTCCATATGTTCCTTTCTTTCTTCCTATCTAATTCCATCAAGCGAGTGATTGAGTCTTATACTTCCTTTTTAAAACATTTATTCATGGGATGTGGGCATTGCTGGCTAGACCAGCATTTATTGCCCAGTCCCAGTTGCCCATTGAAAAGCTGGTGGTTGTAATGATGGTTACAAGGTCAGCCAGGTGGACACCACAGAATGTGAGTTCCCTGATTGGGGATGTTAATCCGGTCCAATCAGGGAGCCCTGGTTGACAGATAAGAACAGGAGTTTTAGGGATCCTGTTCACTCTGAGAGCTTGCTCTGAGGGAGCTGTAGCAGTGTCAAGGCTTTCTACATGTAGATAAACGGTGACTTGGTGACGGTGGAGTTATTTTAGTGTGAGCTGCCTTCTTAAACATGCTGCAGCCCACGTGCTGTAGGTTGACCAACAATGCCCTTAAGGAGGGAATTCCAGAATTTTGACACAACAAACTATGGAGGACCTTGCTGTGGGCTGTTACATTTTCATGCGTTACAACAGTGACCAGACTTTGAAAGGATTTCGTTGGCTATAAAGTGCATGAAAACACACTGCAATCCTGAAAAGTTACTGCACAAATGTAACAACTCTTTTCCCGTTCTATGTTGTGATGACAATTTGAATCTGTACCCCTTGTGACCCACCACTATGCATTAGTGTGAAGTAATTCTGCTTTCTGTGATTACTGTATCTAGACTAATCAAGCTAATTCTCAGCACATTTTACCTCTCTGCATTTCAATGTTGATAGTCTGTTATCTTTGTTAATTCTGCAGCACTGTCTTGGATGCCATTAAACTAAACATCTTCAAAACACCTGCAATTATATTTATCCCTGTTGTGTAGGATAGGATAGGTTGACCCACAATGCTGTCAGGGAGGGAGTTTCAATTTTCTCTCTCTCTTTGTCTCAGTTTCACTCTCACTCTCTCTCGCATGCTCTCTCTCTCTCTCTCGCTCTTTCTCTCTTTCGTTCATTGATACCTAATAGTTGAGAGTGAAGGCGAGAATGAGAATTGCTGTCTGAATGTGAGTGCGTTTCTCAGAAGGAAAGGATGGCTGTGGATGAGGAGCAGGACGGGAGGAAGTTGGGGAGATAGGTGGATGGAGGACAGGGAAGGGGAACAGAGAGAAGACAAGAGTTGAGAGAGAGGACAAGACAAGGCAGTAAGTGGGCTGAGGTCATGAATGGAATAAGCTGCCGAAACAATGAGAGGATGTCTTCTTCATTGATGCAATCTTTATCTTACCAAGTTTGTTTTTAAAATAATCTTTTGTCTTAACAGGTACTTTCAGCCCTACAACATTCCATGATGACCTTCAATCAACCCAAAAAGCAGAACATTGTTAAATTCTACTTCCTGTTCTCTCTGCAGTTTCTGCTTAGAGAAGTGAGTTGATCAATGTCACATCTAATCTACCATGTCAAGAGAATTCCCAGGTTTTTGCAACATCCTGGCTCAAATAGTTAGGACGCTGTTTCCAATTCCTGGTGTTCCATTGCTGGAAGTATACCTAAATTCCCAATCTCCTCACTTATGGAGCCATAGAGTCATGCAGCATAGAAGCACACTCTTCGGGCCAACCAGTCCATGCTGATCATAATCCCAAACTAAACTAGTCCCACGTGCCTGCTCCTGGCCCATATCCTTCCAAACATTTCTTATTCATGCACCTATCCAAAAGTCTCTTATGCTTTATAACTGTAGCCACATCTATGACTATGTTTGGAAATTCATTCCAAGTAAAAGCACTGCCTGTGTGAAAAGATTGCCCCTCATTTTTTAAAAATCATCCCCCTCTCGTTCTTAAAAATATGCCCCCTTGTTTTGAACTACCCCAGCCTAGAGAAAAGCCTCCTGCTATTCAACTTATCTATTCATCGATTTATAAACATCTATAAGGTCACTGCGCCCCCCCAGCCCACACATACACACACACACCAACCTCCTATGCTCCGGCAAAAAAAGTCCCAGCTTATCCAGCTTCTCATTATAACTCAAACCCTCCATTCCTGGCAACATCCTGGTAAATCTCTTGTGAATCCTCGCCAGCTTAAAAATATCCTTCCTATAACATTCCCGTGAAGTTACAGCTGAGGGAATGGTATCAGCTCCAAGGGTTTCCAGGTGATAGTAAAATTACCTCTCAACTCCCTCCAAAGAGGGAAATCCGCTTTCAAAAGTTAAACTTAATCTGGATTTGTCAGTTACATCAGAAAGTGATGCTGTAATTGGCACATTGATGGATGTATGACATTACACCATTTCCAAACCCCAATCTTTGCACCATTGTAGGGTTGACCAAACTGTGCGTATACTTGCACAACACCATTACAAATCCTGTGACAGGTGTTATGGACCAGACCAGACCCCCTCAAAAGATTTTAAGAAAGTAGATTAGATCTTAACTTCTTCATATTTTAAAGGTAGATGTGAAGTGCTGTGTTCCAGATGCAATGTGACTGGCCAAACTACTCGACGTTAAGTAAAACACAATTTATTCAAATACAATAGTTAAAATACAATGAAAAGAAAAGGAATTTAGAATAACTTAACTCTATTGGAAAACTTGACCAAACAATAGATATAGTACCTATTACTAGTTAACTGTTCCAACATAGCACTGTCCCAGGGTGGCACAGTGGCTCAATGGTTAGCACTGCTGCCTCACAGTGCTAAGGACCTAGGTTTGATTCCACCCTCAGGTGACTGTCTGTATGGAATTTGCACATTCTCCCTGTGTCTGCGTGGGTTTCCTCTGGGTGCTCTGGTTTCCTCTCAAAGTCCAAAGATGTGCAGGTTATGTAGTTTGGCCATGCTAAATTGCTCATTGTGTCCTGGGATGTGTAGATTATGTGGATTAGTCATTGGGGAATGCAGGGTTACAAGGATGGGGGAGGGGGTGTTTAGTCTGGGTGGGATGTTCATTGGAGAGTTGGTGTGGACTTGTTGGGTTGAATGGCCTGTTTCCAAGCTGTAGGGACTCTATAAACACACCTCTTGGCAATAAAAGGAAAATTTGGAAAAATAGATTTGTCTCACAGCAGAGAGAAATCCCAGCTTCTAGCTGTAACTGGGAGAGGATGAAGCTAAAAGCTAAAAGAAAAAATCTAGAAATCCCATTCTTTAAAAGCTGGGTACACCCAACCATGATGCATCTATTGTTCCAACTTTAGAAAAAGTGCTAAGGCCTCACAAGCTGTTTACTTTACTGGCTTTCCAACTTGGCACCTCTGTACTCAAAATTCTCGATTTAAAAAATGGGCAAAATAACCTCTTAAAGCCGCAGCATCGTTACACAGGACAGGATTAACATTTCGGTGTGAAATAATTCCTGGGATGGTGGGATTTACGTATGAGAATAGGTTAAATCAGTTCAAATTATATTCTCTGAATTTCAGAAGAATGAAGGGGGGAATCGCACAGAAAAGTATAAAATACCAACAAGACAAAATAGGGTAAGATGCAAGAACATGTTCCAGGGGCATTCACATTCAGGGCTCATAGTCTAAGGATATGTGGTAATCCATTTAGGACACAGATGAGGAGAAATTTCTTCACCCAGGCGTTGCTGAGCCTGTGGAATTCACAACCACAGGAAGCAGATGAGGCCAAAGCATTGTATGATTTTAAGAAGGAATTGAATACAGAACTTGGGGTTAAAGGGAGTAAAGGACTGAAAGGGGAAAAAGCGGGCACACAGTACTGAGTTGGATAATCATAATGAATGGTGGAGTAGGTTCAAAGGGCCGAATGGCTGCTCCTAATTTCCATCAAGTCATAATTAATAAATCCAAGAGAAATCTTATTATCGACAGAGCAGTGGATCTCACTGGTGCAGGGAGTAGTTAAGGCAAGTAGAATAGAACCAATCAATCCTTCCACAAACAGCAGTTTGGAGATAGTCCTGACGAAAAGCTGACTTCCCTGCTCCTCAGATGCTGCCTGACCTGCTGTGATTTTTCCAGCTCCCACATTTATTGACTCTTCCATAAACAGCAACGTGATCAATGATAGGTTAATCTCTTTTTGTGATATTGTTTGAGGGTTAAATATTGGTCCAGTGAGGGTGGGGAGGTCAGGCTGCTGCGTGGATTTGGAACTCCAACAATCTTCTTCCAAACAGTAGCCCAGGGATCGTTTACATCCCTCTGAGGAGTAGGTAGGGCCTTGATTGGGCACCTTAGCTGAAAGACAGCACTTTTGACTGTTCGGCATGTAGCAGTAAAAGGTAAAGTTGTCATAGTCTCAGACAGCTGGTCACCCATTAGAGAGACGGAGAGAGAGAGATCGTTGACTGGTGATGGTTTAACCTGAGGGTCCCCACAACTGAGCCGACAGGAGAGATTGAAAGACGGAACTTGATCGTAGCCTGAGGTGGTATGGGAATTAAAACCATGCAGTTGGCATAACTATGCACCCCAGCCAACAGACCCCCAAAATTCAAATTTCTCCATCTGCAGTGGTAGGATTTGAACCGTGTCCCCTTAGCTAGGACCCCTGGGTTAGGAGTCCAGTGATAATGTCATATCACCATCACCTCCCTCCTTTGCATTGATTGGGACATTTAAATGAAAGCAGAAATGGATGATCAATGGCTCTACTTGAGAGAAATTACCCCTGGTGCCCCAACCAGTCAATATTTCTCAGGCAACAGAGGGCAGCTTTTTCAGCCAGTTCCCGCAAGCAATATGCAAACAATATATGCGGAAGCTTGCTGTGCACAAACTGGCTATTACGTTACACTGTGGACAATACTTTAAAAGGGTGTTTTAGTGGTTCGCATTGCTGCCTGACAGCGCTAGGGATCTGTGTTCAATTCCAGTCTGTGGAAATGTCTGTGCGGTTTTGCCCTGGGTGCTGTGGTTTCCTCCCACAGTCCAAAGCGCAGGTTAGCTGGGTTGGCCATGGGAAATGCAGGGATAGGGTAAGGGGATGGGTCTGGGTTGGATGCCCTTTGGAGGATTAAGTGTAGACTTGATGGGCTGAATGGCCTGCTTCCACACTGTAGGGCATTCTACGATTTCAGCTGTAAAGTGTTTTAGGATATAGTGTCCAAATGCAAGTCTTTCTCTCTTTAATCAGAGAAAACTTATGTTTAAAGTGAATAGTAATACTGTAATTTGAGCTAAAGAGTAAAACAAGATGCTAACTGAATTCAATGATTGGTCACTCTAGGGCCATCTGGATCAAGAGTGTCAGCCTCAGGGATTTGCAGGCCTGGTGATGCACATACATTATCATGAACCAGCCAACTTTGTCTTCATCCATTTCCTGGTGGAAGGTCTGCTGCACAAAATCTGTCGGCCTCTGAAAAGAAGTGAGTTGAAAGCATTTGCCGGTAAATTCCTGGGATGGGGCAAGGGCTCCTTGGCCTGAAGAACCATGTGGCTGGCGCATAAGTGGAAATCCTGCATGCATGAGTGAAATGAGGCCTCCATCAATCATACGGGCCAAATGTCCTCCTGCTGTGCTTTAAGGACTCTGTGACACATCTGATCCCCGATGGGAAAAGGATGGAAAGAGTGACTGAGCTGAGAATCTGTTCCCTACCCCTCCCCCCATCCTTCAAATTAGGCTGCAGAATAGATAACATTGACCTGAAGTGTGGTTAAGTGCCTTCAGCAATGCAGCATTCCCACAGCAGTAGCGCTAAAGTAGCTGGACAAGTCGTGAACACGTTCACTGTTCAGCAAAAGGCATGAGTGCTAGAGACTGAGTCAAACAAGACTCTGCATAGCAGGAAGAAATATTCCTGAATATTGAAAGATAAGGCCAGGAGTGAGCTCAAATGGCCCCTCAAAGCTGTTTCACCATCATTAGGGTCTGCGTATCCTGGCTGAAAACTCCTCCACCAGCCATGTAACTTCCCACAAGAAAAGGGGAAAACCAAAACCATTTAAGGAAAAATTAAATCCAGAGAATTTCTATCCGAACTACCACCAGACAAATAGAATTCAGTCCAGGAGATTGCACGGACCAAACAGACTGCTTTGCAGAACACCTACGCTCAGTTCGCAATAAACAACTGCACCTCCCAGTCGTGAACCATTTCAACTCCCCCTCCCATTCCTCAGACGACATGTCCATCCTGGGCCTCCTGCAGTGCCACAACGATGCTACCCGAAGCTTGCAGGAACAGCAACTCATATTCCGCTTGGGAACCCTGCAGCCCAATGGTATCAATGTGGATTTCACAAGCTTCAAAATCTCCCCTCCCCCTACCGTATCCCAAAACCAGTCCAGCTCGTCCCTGCCTCCCTAACCTGTTCTTCCTCCCACCTATCCCCTCCTCCCACCTCAAGCCACGCCCCCATCTTCTACCTACTAACCTCATCCCGCCCCTTTGACCTGTCCCGTCCTCCCTGGACTGACCTATCCCCTCCCTAACTCCCCACCTACACTCACCTTTACTGGCTCCATCCCCGCCTCTTTGACCTGTTTGTTTCCTCTCCACCTATCCTCTTCTCTATCCATCTTCTATCCACCTCCCCCTCTCTCCCTATTTATTTCAGAACCCCCTTCCCCTCCTCCATTTCTGAAGAAGGGTCTAGGCCCGAAACGTCAGCCTTCCTGCTCCTCTGATGCTGCTTGGCCTGCTGTGTTCATCCAGCTCTACACCTTGTTATCTCAGATTCTCCAGCATCTGCAGTTCCTACTATCTCTCATTCAATCAGTTGTGATCTCTGTCTTAGTCAGGAAGGGCAGACCCAGTGCCATGACACATACGCACACACAGACGCACGCACACACACACACACGCACACGCAGACACACACACAGAACACACACACACACGCACACAGAGACACACACACACACACACACACTCATAGAGACACACGCACACAGGCACGCACACGCAAACAGGCACACACATACATTAAACACACAGAACACACACACACACATTACATGCTCACATGCACACACACAGGATGCGTACACACACACACACACACACACACACACACACACACACACACACACACACACACACACACACACACACACACACACACATCGCAGTGATGTTTTCCAGAGGCTCATTCCTTTTTGGGAATGTGAGATGCATAGATGCACAACATGCCAACACAACAATGTGTGCTTGAAGGCTCAGTAATTGTCTCCTGATGCTTCACCCTGTTTTTCAGCTGGTTTTGTCACTACAATACAACCAGAGTCCTCCTGATAGGATAACTCCCTTGTTTCGCACTTGCTTATGAAAGACTGTCTGTTTCTTATTTGCTTTCCTTTCTGATCCGGACGCTGAGCTGAAATGTGGATGAATTTGGTGCCTCACTCTGATCTGTCTCCTCCAGCTTTGTTTAAAGGATGCCAGATGGTGCTGTCTATGACTCGAGAAATCAAGCCAAAATGGCAGCCTCCCAGTCACTTGCACAAAGGGTCATGGCAAAAGATAAATATGGATGCCCCTGGGAAGCTGAAACTGAAAGCTGAAAGTCATTGGAATTTTCAAAATCTAGACCAAAACACCCAGGACTTCTTAAAGGATCATAGAACCTCACAACAGACAAAGTCTTACCGCCCATCATGGCTTTACTGGCTCCTATAAAGAGCTGACCAATTAATTCCACGCTGCCCTGTTATCTCCCCATAGCTTAAGAGTTACTTTTCTGGTTTTATTAAGGTGCTAAGATATAGGAACAGAATTAGGGCATTCGGCCCATCAACTCAGCTCTGCCATTTGACCATGACTAAGATTTTTCTCAACCCCATTCCCCTATCTTCTCCCAGTAACTTTTGATCCTCTTACTAATCAAGAATTTATGTATCTCTGTCTTAAATACAATCAATGACTTGGCCCCCACAGCCCTCTGCAGCAACGAGTTCCACAGATTAACTGAAGAAATTCCTTCTCATCCCAATTCCAAAGGATTGTTCCTTTACTCTGAGGCTTTACCCTTGGATCTGAGTCTCTCCTGCTAGTGGAAACATTGCCCTTTTGCAAAATGCATTTAAACAATTCGAAGCAGTTAATAAGGTATATGCGTATGTTGGGCTTTAATAGTAGGGGCATAGAGTATAAGAGCAAGGAGGTGACGTTGAACTTGTACAAGACATTTGTTGGACATCAGCTGAAGTGTTATGTTCCACTGTGATTGTCACACTAAAAGAAAGATGTGAATGCATAGCAAATCTGTGATTCTGTGAAATAACTACTGCATGTGCTTGTGTAAGAGTTGCATAGGTGAGCGTCCAGAAGTGATTTACATCAATGAGAAGCTTCAGTTACAAAGATGAATTAGAAAAGTTAGGATTGTTCTTCTTGGAGAGAAGAAGGCTGAGACGAGATTTGATAGACTATTTTAAAATTGTGAGTGGTCTGGATAGAGTAAATAGGGAGAAGCTGTTCCCTTTTGTAAAAGAACAAAAGGGCATTAAAGTGATCTGCAAAAGAAGCAAAAATGATGTGAGGAAAAAGACTTTTCACTCAGTGAGCAGGCAGGGTGTGGAACCTACTGCCTGGAAGTGTGGTGGAGAAAGGTTTAATTGAGACATTCAAGAGGGGTATTGGATAGAAATTTGGATATTATTTGGTGCAGAGACATGGGGGACAAGCAGGAGATTGTCATTTGGTGATGTGGCTTATACAACAAACAAACATGATGAATAAAATGGCCTTCATTTGCAAAATAGCAAATTTGTGTTTCTGTGACATAACTACTGTATGTGGTTGTGTAAGATTTGCATGTTTGAGACTGACTTATAGGCACAGGGGGTGTCCTTTGTAAGCGTAATACTTTTGAGGGGGTTGAGTTCCACGCTGGGTTTTTGGAGCTTCTGAAGTTCTGGCAATGACATTGACCCAGGTTGCTGGCCATGGTCCTGGATTCAGCATGGAATGGCTATTCCAGGTGTACCTACCAGCCTGAGAGTGTACCCGCCGCTGATATTGCTGATGACATCACTAACTCTGCCTCCACACCCAGTTCCAACCCAGCCACCAGCTCAACACCCAGCCCCAGCCTCAAACCCTGCCAGGTATTCACCATCCCCCCAGACCTCCCCCTCACTGAGGATGAATGGTCAGTCGTCAGCGAAGGACTGACCTTCATCCCCCTCCACCTGAACATCAATGAATACCGCTCACGCCTGGATCTCAAACAGTTTTTCAGCGGCCTCCGCCTCCGCACTTATTTCTTTAACTACGAACCTAACCCTCCCTCTGCAGACCCCTTCTCCCGCCTCCAACACAGCCCATCCTCCTGGACACCACCCCAAGGCCTCCTGCCCTCCCTCAATCTTTTCATCTCCGACTGATGACGCAACATTGATCGCCTCAACCTCTCCACCCCTCTCACTCACTCCAACCTCTCCCCCACAGAATGTGCAGCCCTCCGCTCCCTCCACTCCAACCCTAACTTCACTACCAAACCCGCAGATAAGGGGAGGGGGGTGTGCGCAGTAGTGGTATTGGCTCATTGACCTTTACATAGCCGAGATCAGGCACCAACTTTCTGACACCTCCTCCTACCGCCCCCTTGATCATGACCCCACCCCTGACCACCAAAACATCGTCTCCCAAACCATCCTTAACCTCATCACCTCAGGTGACCTCCCACCCACAGCCTCCAACCTCATCATTTCCCAACCCTGCACCGCCTGTTTCTATCTCCTTCCCAAAATCCATAAACCCAACTGCCCTGGCCGACCCATTGTCTCTGCCTGCTGCCCCACTGAACTTATCTCCGCTTACCTTGACTCTGTTTTCTCCCCCTTGGTCCACAAACTCCCCATCTACGTCCAGTAGACTACCCACACCCTTCACCTCCTTCAAGATTTCTAATTCCCCGGCCCCCAACACCTCATCTTCACTATGGGCATCCAATCCCTGTATGCTTGCATTCCCCATGCAGATGGCCTAAAAGCCCTCCGCTTCTTCCTCTCCTGCAGGCCTGATCAGTCCCCCTCTAACGATGCCCTCATCCACTTAACTGAACCCTTAACAACTTCTCTTTTAAATCCTCCCACTTCCTACAGACAAAGGGGGTGGCCATGGGTACCCGCATGGGCCCAAGCTATGCCTGCCTTTTTGTAGGATATGTGAAACAGTCCCTCTTCCGTACCTACGCTGGCCCTAAACCCCACCTCTTCCTCCGTTACATTGATGACTGTATCGGCGCCGCCTCGTGCTCCCACGAGGAGCTCGAACAGTTCATCCACTTCACTAACACCTTCCACCCCAACCTTAAGTTCACCTGGACCATCTCTGATGTCTGTCTCTCCTTCCTGGACTTCTCTGTCTCCATCTCTGGTGACCACCTGGAAACTGATATCTATTTCAAGCCCACCGACTCCCACAGCTACCTAGACTACACCTCCTCTCACCCAGCTTCTTGCAAGAATGCGACCCCCTATTCCCAATTCCTCTGCGTCCGCCACATCTGCTCCCAAGTTGGGGTGTTCCACTCCTGAACATCCCAGATGTCCTCCTGTTTCAAAGAACATAATTTCCCCCCTTCGGTGGTTGAAAATGCCCTCAACCACATCTCTTGTGTTTTTTCCACACCTCTGCCCTCATATTCCCTCCCACCAACAAAAACAAAGACAGAAATCCTCCTTGTCTTCACATATCACCCCATCAACCTCTGTATCCAACGTATCATTCTCCGCCACTTCCGCCACCTACAATCCGACCCCACAGCCAAAGGTATATCTCCCTCCCCACCCCATCTGCTTTTCATAGGGACCGCTCACTCCGCGACTCCCTTGTCCCCTTCTCCCCACTAACCACACCACCCCCAGTACCTTTCCCTGCAACCGCAGGAAGTGCTACACCTGCCCCTACACCCGGGGCATCACCTCCACTCAAGGCTCAAAGCAAACCTTCCACATCAGACAGAGGTTCACCTGCACATCCGTCAACATGGTCTACTGCATCCACTGCTTCCGATGTGGCCTCCATTACATTGGTGAGACCAAGCAGAGGCTCGGAGACCATTTTGTAGAGCACCTGTGCTCTGTATGCGACAAACGACAACACCTTCCAGCCGCGAACCACTTCAACTCCCCCTCCCACTCCCTGGGCGACATGTCCATCCTGGGCCTCCTCCAGTGTCACAATGAGGCCACCCGCAAACTGGAGGAGCAGCACATCATATTCCGCCTCAGGAGCCTGCAGCCCGATGGCCTGAACGTGGATTTTACCAGTTTCTTCAAAATCTCCCCACCCCTGGCCTCCTCCCATGACTAACCCTCCCTCTCATGCCCGCCTCCTCGACCTGACACAACCTGCCCATCTTCTCTCCCACCTATCCACTCCTCCCACCTCACTGACCAATCCCCACCACTGCCTACCTGCACTCACCTATCACCATCCCACCTACCTTCCCCAGCCCCACCCTTCCTCTCTCTATTTCTGAGCTCCCTTCCCCTTCCCCCATTTCTGATGAAGGGTCCCCACCTGAAACATCAACTTTCCTGCTCATCTGATGCTGCCTGGCCTGCTGTGTTCCTCCAGCTCCACTCTGTATTATACATACCAGTATGTCTGACATTTCAACAGCCAGAGAAAAATTGCTGAAAAGCCCAGTGGATTGTTTCCACCTAGCCCTCTTGTAAAACCCATACAACATATCCAAAATAGAAAAGCTTTTGGAGTCAAAAGTTTGGTGTTGAGTTATACATACATGGTGCAAAGAACTAAAGATTTTGTGGATGTAGGTTATGGGTTGGCTTTTACACAAGTTTACTTGAGTGTATAAGTTATTCATCTATAGAATGCAGACTCAAGCATCTCTTTATCATAGTATTATACAGTAGTACAGCACAGACAGAGCCCATTCAGCCCAACAGCTCACCCAAAGAGCTATCCCATTTGCCGCATTCAGCCTGTGCTTTGCTCATATCCCTGAAATATTTTTTCTTGGTGTTATTTGTTGACTATTTCTTTCTGAATGCTGTTCAAAAGACTGGTTGAACAAATGTCAGATCATTATTGAGAATCAAAATACTGACATGTATTGGTGAGGATTAGAAATTGAACCGAAATAAGGATGCTTGAGTTACTCTACATAGTTTTGAGAATTTCTTGCCTCATTTCAATTTGCGTTGTGGGTAGGCAGATGTTGTTAAGATCTAAGGTTTTCCATTATTTTTGGAATTTTTTTGTCCACTCTCCTACGAAAATAGATACAAAATGCCTCTTCAAAACCTTTGCCATTTCTTTGCTTTCATTATTCATTCCCCAGGCTTAGCTCCTGAGGAACCAATTCTCACTTTCACTATTCTGTTCCTTTTTATTTAGGTGTAGAACTTTTTCTTTTCTATTTTCACATTTCCTTGTTGATTTTCTCCCCTATTGCTCCCTCTTTATTATATTTTAATCATCCTTTGCTGGTTTCTAAAACTATTATTTTGTTTTTTGATTTATTGTTGCCACATGTATATAAGTACAGTGAAAAGTTTTGTTTTGTGTGCAGTACAGGCAGATTATAACATACAATGACATACAGATTATAGGGTGCATACAGGGTTATGGCTGCACAGGAGATGCCCAAAAGCAAGATCAACTTTCGATTTGAAATTTGAGAGCTCCATTCATAAGTCTAATAATGGCAGGGAAGAAGCTGTTCTTGAATCTGTTGGTACGTGTATTTAAGCTTTTGTATCTTCTGCCTGATGGAAGGGGTTGGAAAAGAGTACAACCAGGTTTGGAGGGGTCTTTGATGTTAGCTGCCTTTCCACGGCAACGAGAATTGAAGGTGAAGTCCATGTATGGGAGGTTGGCTTATGTGATAGTCTGGGCTGTGTTCACAACTTTCTGTAGTTTGTTACAGTTTGGTCAGAGCAGTTGCCATACCAAGCTATGGTACACTCAGACAGTATGCTTTCTATGGTGCATCTGTAGAAGTTGGTGAGGGTCCTTCTGGATTGCTGAGCTACTGCTAAACTTCACAACATTGTATACATTTTCTTTCCATTTGATATCATCCTTCTTCAAATTCTTACTTGGTCATGCTAACGTTGATCTTGCCTAGCAATGTAGCCTGTATGCCATTGTCTAAGTCTTTTTGATCTGTACATTCTTTGCTACTATGATCTGCCTGCAACGCTTGCAAACAAAGCTTTTCACTGTATTTTGGTACAAGTGACAAAAAATCAATCAATCAATCAATCAATGGATTGGATGTCTCACTGATTATGTGACACCAACCTGCGCTGTTAGCAGCTTCCAACTAAAAAGATTACTATTTAATCCTATGAACAGATTCAAAGCTGTTTTCAGAGGACGTGATGGAGACCTTAGTTCTCATACTGGCAAACCTATTTGGAAGGAGATATCTACCACCCTGTTTAGAAGAAGAGAACCTTACTTTTGATCAGTCAAAGGTGAGTGATGGGCGTGATAATGTGGCTAAAAATCCATACCTACGTTCCTCTACCATTTTCATAAACTAATTCTTTGACAGAAGGACCAGAAATTAGGCCAAGCTTGCCTGTGGGCTCGAAGACTTCCATATCAGAGAAGCAGCACGGTGGTTCAGAGGTTAGCACTCCTGCCTCATAGCACCCGGGACCTGGGTTTGATTCCACCCTTGGGTATCTGCCTGCGTGGAGTTTGCACATTCTCCCCGTGCCTACGTGGGTTTCCTCTGGGTGCCCCGGTTTCCTTCCACAGTCCAAAGGAGTGTGGGCTAGGTGGATTGGACATGGGAAATTGCACATGGTGTCCAGGGATGTGCAGGCTAGGTTGATTGGCCGTGGTAAATGCAAGGTTATGAGGATAGGGTGGTGGGGGGGTGCTGAATATGGGTGGGATGCCTTTGGAGGGTTAGTGTGGACTCAATGGACCAAATGGCCTCTTTCTGCACTTTCATGATTCTACGATTCTAAGTGAGGGGCTCTTCACACAAGACTTTTCCCCAGCCCTCATTTGGGTACCGTGTGCCATGCCACTTTAGAGATGCAGGTCCTTTAGTTGTCAAGCAGAACAGCTCTGGAGTTGATCGGGAGCAGGTTAAGCTCATTGCATGTTGAACTTTAAGAGCTGGGATGACTCCCACCGTCCAACTCCAGTTTGATTTATCTCTTTGCCCTTCTCCCTACCTCCCTCTCATCCTTGATGGCTTTCATTGCCTTTGAGGGGCTTTGAATGTGAATTAATCAATTGGGAAACATGACTGATTTACTGGTGGTGGTTAATTTAAAAACAAAACATGATTTGGCGATGGGGAAGAAACGACGTTCAGCTTGTGTAAGAGTACTTCTGGACATTGAAAAGAAAAAAAAAAGAGACAGACAGCTGGGCTTCCAGAACTGAGGCAGTGGTAACATCACTAAGCTAGTACTCCAGACCACCCAGAAGATGTTCTGTGGGAACATGGATTTGACATTCACCTGGGAAATGATGAAATTTGAAGTTAAAGAAAGGTGAAATCTGAACCAAAAAATATTAAATGAGTTGGCTCTGGTGGGGGTAATGGGCTAATGACATGATTGCTAGATTATTAGTCCAGAGACTCAGATAACATTTAGAGACATGGGTTCAAATCTCACCATGGGATGAGATGGGATGATGGAATTTGAATCCAATAAAAACATGTTATTGAAAGTCTAGTGATGACCATGGAACAGTTGTCAATTATCACTAAAACTCATCAGGTTTACTAATGTCCTTTAGGGAAGGAAACTGCTGTCCTTACCTGGTCTGGCCTACATGTGATTCCAGACCCACAGCAATGTGATTGACTCTTAACTGCCCTCTGGGCATTCGGAGAGGGGAATATACACAGGTCTAGCCCACATGCTTATATCCTGAGATGAATTAAAAAAAGTAGAGACAACAAGGTGCAGGGCTGGATGAACACAGCAGGCCAAGCAGCATCATAGGAGCAGAGAGGCTGACGTTTCAGGCCTAGACCCAGCCCTGCACCTTGTTGTCTCGGATTCTCCAGCATCTGCAGTTCCTACTATCTCTAATTAAAAAAAGTAGTTGGGATCTGATGTATTCCACCCCCTATCTACCTAACTCTCCCTCATCTTCGGTGGTGTGCCTTACCCTTAACGGGTTTTGGATTAAATTGGAAAATGGGGGTGATTTACTGGCAGTGGTTAATAGATGGAAAAAAATACCATGAGTGAGTTGGCGATGGGATAAAGAAATTGGCTATTTAGGAGCACAGTGTAAGAGTTGGGATCTGAGGGCAAGTGGGAATGTAATGGGAATGTCACTGCCCTAGCTATGTAATCATCATTAAAACCCATCTCATTTTGAGGGGGTAGGAGGGAAAAAAAAATTGCAGTTTGAAGGGTCTGTGTGGTGTAATGTTAGTGTCCCTACCTCTGAGCCAAGGGACCTTGGTTCAAGTCACATCTGTTCCAAAGTGTGAAGACACATCTCTGAACAGAACAATTAAACATTCTGCCCCTGATGAGCAGTCCTTATTAATTGTTACTACTTAGTTGTTTCAATCAGTTAATTTTGGTGGTGGGTCTTCAAAAGAAAAGGCTTTGTTTTCTTGAAAACAAAGAGTTGATTTCTCCTCTGTTGTTTTACCCTCTGCCTTAATATTTGCACGTAGCTCTCCACTCATTCAAGCTTGCTATCCTATAAATTCCCCAGTTGGCCTGAGTCTCTATTTTATGTTATGTGACATTTCTAATTATGCATGCCAATAGATCAGATTCGCTATCAAAAGCTTTTTTGTCTGATATCTCGTCAACTGCCTTTTGGAAATTCAAATCTACTCCTCCTACTGGTTCCATTTATCCACCTTGCTTGTTACACGTTTGAACAGTGGTAATTGATTTATCAAACATGGGTTCCACTTCAGAAAACTGATTCTTTTTTGATGGTCTGCTCCTTCACTATAGATTCCAACATACAGGTTTTCCAAGGCTTTAGGAAAGCAACTGCTATGTTGGCCTTTAATATAAGAGGGTTTGAGCATAGAGCATTGGAGAGACACAATATTGTGTGCAGTTGATACCATAAGATGTAAGAGCAGAAGTAGACCATTCAACCTATCGATTCTGCTCCACCATTTAATAAGATCATCAATGATCTGATAATCAGTTTCCTGCCGTTCCCTATAATCCTTGATTGCCTTTCTGATTAAAAATCCATCTGTCTCAGCCTTGAAAACACTTAACTACCCAATGCTGACAACTGACTGTGGTAAAGAATTCCAAAGATTGACCACCCTCTGAGAGAAAAGCCTTGCCCTAAAGCCTGTCCACCATCTACAAGGCACAAGTCAGGAGTGTGATGGAATACTCCCCACTTGCCTGGATGGATGCAGCTCTAACAACACGCAAGAAGCTTGACACCATCCAGGACAAAGCAGCCCGCTTGATTGGCACCACATCCACAAACACCCACTGTGATGTGGAATCAAAAAAAGTAATTTCTCTCCATCGCTGTCTGAAATGATAGCCTCTTGGTCTGAGATGACCCTCTCTCCACAAGGAGAAACAATCTTTCCACAGTTATCCTTTTTAAGTCTCCCAAGAATCTTACATATTTCAATAACATTACCATTCATTCCATTAAACTCTAATGAGTACACATCTAACCTACTCAATGCCTCTAATGAGACAGTCCCTTCATATCTGGGATCAGCCTAGTGAACCTTCTCTGGACTGCTTCCAATTCTAGTATGTCTTTCCAGGATCCGAGGGCACAGCCTTAGAGTAAAGGGAAGACCTTTTAGAATGGAGATAAGGAGAAACTTCTTCAGCCAGAGAGTGGTGAATCTATGGAATTCACTGCCACAGGAGGCTGTGGAGGCCAGGTCATTGAGTACATTTAACTCTGAGATAGATAGGTTCTTGATTGTCCAAGGGATCAAGGGTTACGGGGAGAAAGTAGGAGAATGGGTTGAGGAACTTATCAACCATGATTGAATGGCAGAGCAGACTCGATGGGCTGAATGGCCTAATTTCTGCTCCTATGTCTTATGGTCTTATAAGGAGACCTGAACTGTTCACAGCATTCCAGTGTGGTCTAACTAGTGCTGTGTATAGTTTTAGCAAGATTTCCCCATTTATATGGTCCATTGCCTTTGAAAAAAGGGCCAACATTCAAACTTAGATAACA